ATAATATCATATTATTAAAATAATTATAATATTATTATAATATCATATTATATGATAAAATAATAATATTATAGTTATTAATATAATTATGATATTATTTATTATAATATAATATTATATTATATTACGAGTCCGAATTTTAAATTGAGAAGATTGTAAATTTTAATTTTCATTAGGGGTATTATGGATATTATGAAAGTTTTATTAATTGTATTATGTTGATTCCTGCACCTAAAGTTGTCTTTAGGCTGCTTCTGATTTTGACTGTAGATTCTTAAAAAATTCTTCAAAAAGCACTTTTAAGGAGATTTACCAAATACTAAAATCAACTTCTGCTACAAGCAGAAGCTGATTTTAGGATGAAAAAGTAATATCAAACTAAGCCATTGTTTTACAGAGCAAAATTTAGCATTTGTACACTAATTTAACAGTGCTTTGGATATATACTCTTTCGTTCGATTACCATGTCATATATGGCTCTTAAAAAATAACCAAAACACAATTTTAAACACGATTCCATCCCTATTTTCATTCACTCTAAGCAAAACCATTTTAGAATTGCTCCCAAACGGTTAAATGGAATGCATGCAAACCTACAAGTGTGTTCTTTGAACAAAAGGCTTTGCTTTGAATATGAAGAGGTCCTTCCAAACAAAAAAGAAAAGAAAAAAAAAAATTTGAAGAGGCGCACAAGGTTTTTAGATGAGGTTTATCAAAGCTTTACCACCGTTCTACCACGACAACATCGGTTTTTGATAAGAACACGACGAGATATTGTTTAAATATGAAGCATTAAACATGATACATAGTCGTTTATACTCTGCTTCCCTAGCACCAATTGGTCAGAGCACAGTTTTGCTATAACCCCAGCACTATGAACTATTGTCGAACATTAATTTTTAAGTTATGTAGTGACGTGAGAAAGATAACGACTGTCCAACTAAAAGCCTTTGCTACTTGCATTAACTAGAATACAAATTCCTGCAGTTCAATAGTATGTTACAGATGACACAAATCTACTGATCGAAAAGAGGGAAAGAAAACCAAAAGAAAAATTGTCTTTTGAGTTCTATCTATATGATAGACAAACAACTAATCATCATATTCCCCTTGAGCGAATTTGTTCTCCGGATAAAACACAGCCACCACTTGGTTTCCACCAAATTTTCTTCCATTCAACCCTGCACGGGCTTTGGAAGCACCTTCCACTTCTACATACTCCAGAAACACCTGAAAGATGGGGAGAAAAAAATCAAGTGCAATGGACAAAACTAATAAGAACATTAGATTAGACAAGAAAGGGCTAACTGTAAAAAACAAGTTTCTAATGTAAATCATTAGCTCAATAGAAAAACTCATTCAACTTTAAAACTTCCCCTTTACTCAATTCACTTTATTTTTTGGCATGTCTCCTTTTGTTTTGTTCATAACACATCCTTTGATGGGCGTACATGAAATTTTAATAGTAAGACTGACATAATTCAAACATACCTTCCCAACTCCAGGCATTGGTTCACCGTCCGGTCTAGGTCGTGGAATAACAACTCTCACCAACGGACCTGCAGAACAAAAATTGTCAAATTAGGAAGTTTTAAAATAGATAAGAAGCAAACAAGGTGAATTCAGATAGAAGGTCATGGAGGCTTCTGTCTGTATGTTAGGCCTGATTCTTTATAGCAGAATGTGGGACAACCAAAAAGGCTGTAAAACAGAAAGATATACCACAGAAAAAAAAAAAATTAATAAGATACAGCCAACTCATCAAACTACTAAAAATAAATAAGAGAAAATTAAGAAGACCGTATATTGAGAAGGGAAGTTACCAAATTTTTCGCCCTCCTGTTTCATGTCTTCCATTATGTCTTCATATTCCTCGTCATCTCTTAGCTCATCTGCAGAAACCACTTGAGTGAGACATACGACCTTGGATGTTGCTGCACCAGGTTGCTGCAACAGCATGAATCTCTGCAAAGGGAAAGCATGAAGAACATGAGTTAGAGAGTTAACTGTGAAATATAATGATTCTATAAGTGGACATTAGCATTCACGAATATTAGAAAAATAGAAGGTTATCAAAACACAACATTTCACGTTTGATTCAGAAAAGTAATTCTTGGCAGGCTACAAACAGATATGGGTTTTGACCTACCTGCAATGCAATCTGCTGCTGTGCATGCAACAATACACTCTCTTGCTCAGGTTTAGGCTGGTTCGCACCTTGGTTAGCACGTCTAACAGTAAGAGTCTTATCACCCATTTTAATTCCATTCAGAGCTGCACAAGCTATGTCCGTAACTGAAAGATCTTGGTAAACACAAAAAGCATAACCTTTTGAGTTTCCTGTTTCTCTATCTTTCACTAGATCAAAACCCCGAAGTGGGCCAAAGGACTCTAGCAACTCCTTGATCTGTGCTTCTGTGAAGTAATATGGTAATCCACCCACAAAAATACGGTCAGGACCCTCAAGGCCACCAGCAGAACCTGGTGTTAGCCCAACAGCAGCCAGGTTCAAATTGGGATTGGGTAGGCTCGGACCAAGAGTTGCAGCAAGAGAAGGATTGTAATCACTAGGTCTCCTCACCTTAACGGGGGCTCCCTGTTGGAGAAGGGGGGAAAAAATGAGAATCAAACAGGTCAAAACCAGAAAAGTTCCATACTGAACTGATACATATAAACCGGAAGATCAAGTACCTCAAAAATAATCCCATCCAAGGCCATTGCATTACTAGCCTCCTCAACAGATCTCATCTCCACAAAGGCAAACTTCTTTTCATGGTTAATATAAACATTCACAACAGCATCCCCTGCACAAAACAAATGAAAATTGATGAGACATAAAAACTAGATTAATCATACAAATAGATTGAAACCAAACATCAACATACCTGGACCAGCAGTGTTTCCTCCAATTGCCGCCATAACTTGACTAAAAAATGTTGCAACGGACTGCAGCAGAAATACGTAAGCTCATTTTAATGTCTAAATTAAATAAACCACGCATATTTATGTGTTTCAAAAGAAGATTTTAAGGATTGAAGACGGCATCATTTTTATCATGTGCTTTAGTAACTCCTAGATGCATCAAGAAACCCCTCCCCCACAGGAAACCTCAACTAAAACTCCACAGCGAAAGGTTTATAGAAGAGTATAAACAGTAATGTTAACTTGATAGCAATCACGTCAGACAGTAAAAGGGGCTAGCATGGTGTTTTACCTGCTCATTTGCTGTAGGGGGGAGTCCTCCAACATACACCCGCCGTGCATGCCTTGTAGCCTGGAACCCGAAATTAACCATAAAAAAATTAAAACATGAGCAAAAATTAAAGGTCAAAGGTCAAGGAAACACAATTCAATTTTAACAAAAAGACAAACAGAGATCATGACTAACCTGTTGAGTCATAGCCTGAACTGGCATAACGGGAAGGGCTCCAAACTGCGGCATGCAAACAAAATACAAAATCAGTAAAACAGAGAGAAGATTTCCCGTGTGCATGTAATACCACCTTTTTTTTTCCCTTTAAGGTGGGTGGGCAGAGAGATTTACCTGGCCAGTTGCTAAAGGGAACATGTTTGGAAACATTCCAGGCATAGTCGTAGTCCCAGGAATCTGACCTGCAAGGGAATTGAATCACATCTCAGTAACAGAAAATATTAATAATTAGATTTTATAATTTATTGGATCTCATCTAAGAATAAAATACCACCTTCCACAGTTCCACTTCTGTTTCATGACAATTCCCTAGATTAAGCATATCATAACCTTTACAGTTTATGGCAAAGTTTATCAAAGGAGATGAAAGGAATTTGTACACAAGTTCTGGAGTAAATATTCGTAAGACTACCAAAAAAGGAAATAGTGGTCGGTTGAAGACGAACAAGAACAAGATCCATCAAACCGGTGCATTGATTCCTCCTTGTACATTAAAGCTACAGAAGTCGGCTCACACCCATTGTCAGCACAGTGGGGCAAGTAGCCCAAACTTGCCTTCTTACAACAAAAGACAAGGACATAGAAACAAACAAACAAACACCAAACACAAGAAAAAACCAAAAAGATCTCTCAGTCCCAGAATAATTTCACCAAGAAAGCAATAAAAAACTTATAGCCCAACCAGAGAACACTTCTTTATAAAGCTATATGTGCAAATGAAGTAACAAAATATATCTTACCAAAATAACACCAAGCAATTTGACACGAACTTTCCACACTATTACAACAAAGAAAAAAATAGCAGTTAAGAGATATGGCAATCCTAAATCTATGAAGATAAATGTACCTGCAGCAGCAGCAGCAGCTGCACCAGCTAGCATTGCAGAAGCAGGAGGAGCCATATCAAAACCGCTAATCCTTTTGCTGCAGTTATAAAACATTAGAAGACCAAAAGCAAAGCCAACAGAAGTGAAAATACTATTAAAAAATAAAATACAATAAAATAGTAAAAATAATATCATTCAAACGTGTTTCAACTACTGCTCTCAACAAAATTGCTTTACTAATATCTCAAAGATTTGAGTACCTCTTTGAGCGTGATCGAGACCTTGACCTGTGCTCAGACCTACCCCTTGAACATGATCTAGACTTGCGCTTGTGCCTATCCTCCCTGTCTTTGTCATAATCCCTGCGCCTATAGAAAATAAAACAACATCAATACCTTAATAAGTTGCAGTGGATAAATTCATTTGCAATAAACTAATTGATCTTATCTCAAAAATGCCAGTATTCTAATCATATTACCTATCGTAGTCCCGGCTGCGGTAATAATCATCATCATCATCCCTATCTCTTCCCCGTTCCCTCCTATCACTGCGGTCCCTGTGGCGATCTCTATGATGACGATCACGGTCACGTTCACGTTCACGATCCCTATCTCGGTCCCTTTCTCTATCCCTGTCTCTGTCTCGATCCCTTTCCCTATCCCTGTCTTTGCTTCTCCCCCTGTCCTTGTCTCTCTCTCGATCCCGATCCCGATCCCTATCCCTATCTCGATCCCTGTCCCTGTCCCTCTCTTTTTCACGTCCTTTCTCTCTTTCCTTTTCTCTACTCTTGGAAGACTCTCTCTCATGATCACGAAAACCGTGCTGCAAAATAAATGGTGAGTATATATTATACTTTTATCAGACAAGTGAAAGGAAAAGAGCATATTGTTATCTGAACAAACAAACAAACGTAAAATTTTTTCATTATGAAATTGTCACAAGAATGAACGACCATGGGAACCATAAGGCTGCTAATTGCACAGTGAATTCATAGTCACTGGGCATAAGAACACTCAAAACATTAGTGTTTAGAGAGGCAGCCGAACAAAATTACGAATAGAAAGAGTTAAAAACAAAAAGGCAAAACCCTAAAAAAAACTCATCGACAAGCAACCATTTCATCAAACCTTTTCAATTCATAAATAGATCATCTACATAGTAACATGGGCTAACAGAATTGTCTGAAATCATAAATGGCCAACAAAAGACTTCTAATTAACCTCAGAACTGTGATTTATTCTCACAATTAAGATTCAAAATCAACAAAAACTATAAACATATAAAAGAACAATCCTAAAACCCTTGCTTTAACCAAAGCCTAGCTCCTCCTCGAATCGATCTTGTCAACCGGCAATCCCAACAAAACGAGCAAAAATAAGCTGTATAATCGTATATAAAGGCCGCTAGAGTTTCTACCTGGGATTTTGAGTCGCTGTAATCGTCGGTCCCACCGTGGCTGCCGCCACGAGGTTGGGGAGAGGAAACGCCGCCGTAGTTGTCCACGTCCTCTCCGTTACCTTCGTACCTTCCGTCGTAATCCGCCATTTTCGGCGCAGTTTTCTCGGGATTTCGCGTTGGATATCGCCTCCTAGTTCAGTTTGGTTCTCGGGAAAATTGTAAGTGAAAATTGACGAGACTAAAAACAAGAGCTCCGTGACTAGTTCTAGGGCTTCGGAGATGGGGTTTTCTTGTTTTTATATAGGATATTGGAGAGAGCAATTGAGACTGATGAGTCATGATGATTCGCACTGAAAGGGCATTTTGGTAAATGAGTTAATAAAATAAAGTGATATTTAAGTCCCGTTCATTTCACTGATTTGATATTAGAATTTGAGTTTTGCTACAGTAAAAAGCTCTCATAAACAATCACATCTAACTTTTTTATTACAATAAAAAGTTCTCACATAAAATCACATCTTAACTCAAATTAAAAACTCGAATCAGCGAACTGAACGGACTTACGGGCCTTTAATTTATGAGTTCAGAATCATAATTTATAATTCTAATTTTTAAAATTTAACTTTTTTATAAAAAAAAATAACTGTAAAAAACTAAAATCATAATTCAAAACTAAAGACGAACCATTCATACAAATGTCCCTTAATATTTTCACTTCTCAAATATAGGCACCTAGTTAAAATTCGCTTAATTTAGATGGAAACCTATGATAATCTCGTAATTTTTGTTGAAGATGATATTCTCGTAATTTTGTAATATGTCTTTTTTTCTTTATATGTTTTCACTAAATATGTTTTCATATTTTCCATTATTTTTAGATAAAACATAAAAACTCAAATTGTAGATTTTTTTATTTATTTATGTTTTATGTTCTCTGATATGTTTCTTTATACTTTATCACTGTTGGTTTGTATAAGATATTTTTGTGCTTTACAATTTGAGATTAGTGCTATTCAAAAAAAAAAAAAAAGATTGAGATTAGTGAGTTTCAAATATACGAAAATTACTAGTTACTTTTTCCTCTAAAATGTAATTAAAGTCATTATAATTTTTTTTTCTTATATATGAATTTAAACGAAGGTATTAACAAAAATGTTTGTTGCTCATTTATTTTAGCATTTAAGTAGGGCTGACAATTCGTGCCGACACGATTATAGTAAACACGAACACGACACGATTAATAAACGTATCATAAACTTAAATATGAACACGAAATGTTAAAAACACGGTTAAAACGATACGATAACACGATTACTAAACGGGCCGTGACGAGTTGACACGAAAAAAATACATTTATGACCCGTTTATGACCTAACTAGTAAAAATAGTAGAATTTTATATTGTAGTCAAAACTAATATTAATTGACTATTTAATATCACTTATAGTTAAAATCTGGCGAGCATATAATAGGAAAAACATAAATCCTCTAATTCTCTATAATAGCTAACACACATAAAAATATCCAAATATCAAACACACACACATACATATATATATATATGATACTACTAGATTATCATATATATATATATATATATATACATATGTTTCAAAACATGACCAATTATCAAACATCCAAAGAAGTTTGAAAACATAACCAAATACATCTAAATAAAATTAAAAATATAACCAAACATTTAAATGTTTAAGGGCATAAAACATAAAATAAATGTAGGAAAATATTTTCTTTGATGTTGAATTCCCAACTATGCTCTAAAATTAGTTTCCAGTTACTTTAACCTATTTATGGATGTCTTTTTATAAATGTCATAAGGTTGAATGTCTTGTTTAATTTTTTATAAATTTTTTATTTTTGTATATGGATTATAAACGGCCGGGCCACACCGTGTCGTGTTGGCCCGAATCCAACCCATTTATTTTGGGAAATAGTAGAAAATAAGCCAATATGAAAATCTTAAGAAAGTATATAGGCCAATTTTTAGTTATAGAAATTAATAGGCCATAACTTGTCAAGTTATAGTTCATAACCAGATAAGTTATGGACAAACTTGTCAAGTTATGATTCATAGCCAGACAAGTTATAGACAATAACTTGTCAAGTTATGGTTCATAACTAGACAAGTTATGGATAAAAACAGTAATTTGACCTATTTATTAACTTATGTAAACTATTGGCCTATTAATTTTAATTCATCTCAAGTCTTGACCTATTTCCCTCTTTCTCCCATTTATTTTTGTGTCATTCGTGCCAGCCCGTTAACGACCCAATTAATAATCGTGCGGTCTAAACCTATTTATCTTGTGTCATTTTTGTATCATTTCATTGTGTCGTGTCTGAAATTGCTGGCCCTACACTTAAGTGTTATAAGTAGAACTTTGGTTTATAAAATGTTAATCTGTTTGTCCAAAGATATTAAAAAAATTTATAACTTAATTATTGCTAATTTGATTTATCAAATGTATAAAGTCTCTCTAAAATAGAAGATAATATTTTTTTCATGATTTATATTATTTTATATATTTTATTTGCATTATTAAATGGGAGTTTTATGAAGCAAAATAACAAATTTGTAACTTAAGTACCATTAACTTAAAGGTTTCTACCTAAATTTTAGTGGAATTTTAATCGAGTAACTAAATTTTAGACACTTAAAGAGTTCGTGGGTGAAGATAGAACAATTTTCACTATAGAGACTAATTTTAAAAACAGAAAAAAGTTCGAGTACCTCCAATGGATTTAACTCTTTTTTTTTATTTACTCAAATATTTGTGATGTGTTATGAATAGTAACTGTCCACCTCAGTCAAAGTTACTATGAAAGTCAGTTAAAGTTACTGTTCATTTTCCTAGAAATAGAGCTATAAGGCTTTTTATTTTGTATACCTTTACAAGATTAATGAAACTCTCTCTAGTTTCTCTCTCTAAAATTTTTCTTCTTAGTTTTCATAACACGTTATCAGCATAAACGGTCTATTCCTACTGCGATTGTCTACATTCATTAATTTAAAGAAATGAGGCTCTAATCCAATTACAATCATCTACCTTAAATTCAAAAGAAAGTCGGTCCTAGCCCTAGTCCTACTACAAGTTTCTACCCTTATTAATTCAAGTGAAAGGTATGTAAATATACTCTATTATTTTATATTCATACAAAGGAAGGCTATGCCACTAACGTATTATAATTTTGTCGTTATACACCCTTTCAAAGGTTTACCGAGTAGCTTGGCGTATTTGTATTCTCATAAACGGACGGTTATACCGCTTGCATGTAATAATTTCTCATTGCACTTTCTGCATGCATATTACTATTCTCATCTGTTTATTTTTCTACATCATTTGAGGTATACAATTGTAACTTTTCTTCAACTTCTAACGATAATATAACGGATTTTTACACCACTATTAACGGCTATAAACGGCTAGTTTTTACTCCATAAAATGTGGTTTTTCTTAACCCATATAATTCACATCTCATCTTCTTAATATTTTTATCTTTTACTTCTCATATTCTCTTCACTATTCTTAATATAATCTTCACAATATGGCAAATATGATGATGATGTTTGTTATTTTAGTAGTCATTTTTTATATTTTTGCTCTTTTTATTAGAGATCATTCTCCACACGATTTTTAGTTTTTCCTTGCAATACTCATACTTGCAGCATTTTCCCTTTTATTTATTGCTATTATGATTAACATGTAATTTTAAATGTACTCTGTATTGCAATAATAATACTATGACTTTTATTATATCGATGTTCTCTTATAGTTATCATCATGTCAAATTTTGTCAAACTTGAGTTTGTTGCACTCGACATCGTGAGAAAGAATTATATGTCTTGGATCATAGATATAGAAATGCATATAGAGTCAATGGGTCTAACCAATACCATTAAAAAAATAATAATAACATGTCACCATAAGAAAAGGTGAAAGCAATAATTTTCCTTCGTAAACATCTTGATGAAGGCTTGAAATGTGAATATCTCACGGTTAAAGAACTACTTGTCCTTTGAAAATGTCTGAATGAGATATACATCCACCAGAAAGAAGTCATACTTCTCGCCACTCGTGATGAGTGGAACAATTTATGTTTTCAGGATTTTAAGAAAGTCAATGAGTACAACTCTGTCATGTTTAGAATTATTTCGCAACTGAAATTTTATAGAGTAAATATCACATATGGTGAAATGCTAGAGAAAACCTACTCACTTTCCATGCATCTCACATAACCTTGCAACAACAATACCATTTGCGCGGTTATAAGAAATTTTTTAAGCTAATATCACGACCCCAAAGAAGGGACCGTGATTATTGGAGTTTAATATAAAGATTAACTTAATTAAATTGGGTTGATTAATGAAAATCTATGAAAATAAAAATAAAATATATAAATACCAAAATATTTACTCTGTAGTCTTTCTTTTATAAATATTATCAAAACAGTCCATAAACTCAAACTTTACACAACTTTGAGACAATGCCGACTAATGCAGTTTATATACAAGTATATAGTACATCAGAGACATCAACTTATTATGTTGCAAGTCAAGCTGCTAACTCTAGAGGGGAAAACATTTAAAAAAAAGGAGCCGAATGCTCAGTAGGAAGGAAACATGGTACAACAATAAAATAAGAATAGAGACGATACTTATAATAACCGAAATATCGATTTAAGACCATAACACATGTAAGAGAAGTCGGCTCAAACCTATGAGTCTTAGCAGATACCAACAAATGCAGAATGAGGCCGATAATCAAGTATCTCAAAACTCCTTTAAAATGTCATATCGTTCTAAAATTCATTTCAAAGTGATAGGACATCTATCACCCGTATAATCCACAAATACTAGGTATTTGTATTTCTGTTTAAACACTAGAACACCCCAAAATAAGAAAGATAGAAGAAATATAAAGATCACACGCTGGTAGTTTGAAATGCTCTTTCAAAGTACCGATACCTTACCTAGTGTAAGTGCAAAGCCATTTTACCACCCACGCTGCGGAGTGGCCCGTACGGGTTTCGAGACCTGTCCCCAAGGATACGATCTCCATATCCCAATTTTTGTGGCTATCATGTTGAATAAACTATCTAAATGCTCACATGGATAACGTTTGAAAACTTACATATATCATTCTCGAATTATGTCAATTCGAGACTAGTTCTATTTGAAAAAAAATTCACTTTCGAGAGTCATGCTTTGTGAAAGTCAGGTTTCTCGGAAGATTTTCTC